GAAAAACAATCCTAATCAGATCTGCTGGCTGCTGGAGAAGGTTCCCCACTCTTCGAATTCCCAGAACGAGTTCAACACCTTCCAGCAGTTCCTGGACAACCAGCAGTACACCCGCCGTGGGATCCTACGCTACGAGAAGATGTTTGGGGCTGGTTACATCAGCACAGGCGGGCCCAGCACCACCAAGGTAGGAATAAAGTCTGGAAAATACCAAAGTAATAGGCTGGAAGGATTCAATAAGTGCTTCTTAGAAGGTATACAAAAAGAACACAGAATAAAGAGGTGTGATTTCAAAAGTGAAAAGTTCTGTAAACAAATTACTTGTGTGACTGAAGTTGATAAAGTTTAAAACGGCATTAAATAAATGTACTCACCACTTTGGTACTGACAGAAATACCTCAACAACTATTGGATGGATTGCTAATATATTCAGGAGATCACCTGACTTTTCCTCTAGCAATGACTTTGAAATTTATGGTTTTGAGTGAAATGTCTTGTTGGATGTATTGCTATGCTATTGCTACAAAGAATCAATATGCAAGTAATGAATAAAAATAACAATTCACACTGTTGCATAAAACCTACACCCCTCAACACTTTGGTACTAATCATCATCTTTATTTACCCAACAAAGAGATACTGAATTTTTCAATACAGAACTTTGATTAAACCAAAGAATTTACCTTTTTTGTATTAATAGGAGTTTGTGGACCTGCTGAACCTGAAGCCCGGACAGAAGGTTCTAGATGTTGGCTGTGGCATTGGTGGAGGAGACTTCTACATGGCTAAGGTAAGAGCCAAGAAATCGGCCGTAGTTAGGGTGATACTAATAATGATAATAGAGGGAATTTATAATGATTATAATGATTGAAAACACTATTATGATGGCTGTGATTATGGTACGTTTCAGACCTTTGGAGTGGAAGTGCTTGGCCTGGACCTGTCAGACAACATGGTGGATATTGCTATGGAGCGGGCGATCACTGAGAAGCTGCCATCAGTATGTCTAAATATTCCATTATCCTACTGGTTTAAACACCAAAGATAATGGTTTGATTAATGGTTTGTTTGTTTCTAAAAATCAGTAATGGCATGTGCTCTACCTCAGGTCCAGTTTGAGGTGGCTGATGCCACTAAGAGGACGTTCCCAGAAGGTTCCTTTGATGTGATCTACAGCAGAGACACAATTCTGCACATAAATGACAAACTGGCACTTTTCAAACGCTTCCATGTGAGTTTTTTGTCATACTTTAGACAATAGCATTAATTGTCATTTTTTTACATTGTTGATTTCCAAACGTCTCTTTGCATTTGTTCTTTGTGTCCAGTCATGGTTAAAGCCAGGTGGCCAGTTGCTTATCAGTGATTACTGCTGCGGGGAGAAGCCCTGGACACCAGTGTTTGAGGCCTACGTCAAACAGAGAGGCTACGTCCTCTATACTCCCTCACAGTATGGCAAGGTAAATATACAGTAGAGCCTAATTATGTAATAGTTTGTGAAAGGACTACACTGCCCTTGGGGGAGTTCAGCCCTTTAGTCCTCTTTACCAATATGGGACGAGGATTGGCACTCAAATTATTGCTAAGACTCTTTACCATCCAATATGTGAAATAAGCTGCTTGAACAATCAACCTATATGGCCATTTTTCTGGTGAGGACGGGCTGGTCCAATGAAGGCACTCTTAAAGAAATGCCCTTAAAGAAATAATAAAATTATAGTTACAGTCACAAGTTATAGTTAATGAGCAAGATCTTTTTTGTTTAACCAGATTCAGTCACTATATTATCAAAGCACCAGACTACCTTGACGAAAAAAATTTAATTTTACCTCACGAGAGTGGTTGATCTACCGCTAAAGACTTTGTGAAACCAGATACCCATATGCATAGGTGTCATTTACATTGGGGACGCTGGGGACATGTCCCCACCACTTTTTGAAAACATGAAATGCAATGTAAATATAGAAGAACCAGATCTGCCTTGTCCAAAAATAAAGTAACTTAGGCTAAAGAAACAAGGTGCTAATAATTATTATTATTATTGTTGTCGTTAATGTTTTTTTTTATTCTGAATTGTCACCGGCCACATGAATTATGTTTCCCTTCATATAAATAAAGACATTTCCACCATAAATTGGTGCCAAAAATATCTCTACAATGCAGAAAATTAAGAGTTTAATGCTCAAAATCTTCAAAACCCCCCAATCGAATAGCCGATTTGATCAATGAATATTTATTTAAATAGTATTGGAGTATCTTGTTGTCTTGTTCTTGTGACTACAAAATTGTGCATTATCACATCTCGTGCCCTAAGTGTTTCGTCACACCCCTAATATGAGCCCCTAAATGTCCCCACCACTTTTAAACACAAAGTGACACCCTTGCCCATATGGAGTAACTCAAAAAAGTATTCTGCTGCACAGAAAGCCCAAATGGGGTGACTGCGCACTATGGATGTGTTGTTAATGTGTTACTAGTGTCGGTCAGCTGCTGTTGCTGTTCCCCCTCTACTTCACCTCTTCTGTCTCTTCTCCCGTAGTTCATTGAGGAAGCTGGTTTCTGCAACGTTCGGGCAGAAGACCGGACACCCCAGTTCATCCAGGTCATTAAGACAGAGCTGCAAAGAGCAGAGGTCATCAAGGATGAATTCATTGAGGTTAGCATGCACATGCAAACATGCACAGTCACACGCACACACACACACACAAAATATGGTGTCAAAATTACATGGTTATACTTGCACACACATCATTCATGTTTAGTTCCAACCTGACTGTTCTTCATCCTCTGCAGGAATTATCTGAAGAGGACTATTTTGCAATAGTAAGTGGATGGAGTGAAAAACTGGGACGTTCCAACAGTGGAGACCAACGATGGGGACTATTTTATGCAACTAAGGATTGAGTGATTGATGGGGAAGATAATAAAAGGAAAAAAAAGAAATGTTTTATTCTTATTTCCTTGTTGTTTTTTGCTTTTGTCTTTAATTAATTGCTTGTTTTCACTTGTTGGGGATTAAAAGTAAAAGTAATTTAAGAAGGAAGCATGCATTGTTTGTTAAACCTGTTACAGCGGCATTTTATTTAAAGTGGGGCACTGTCAATGTGCTGTGTGAGCAAAGGGGAGAATATATATATATCTATAATATATAGAAAATATACATCAATACACAACAATTATAACAGTATTACAATGTTGACTTGCTATTAACATGATGTTACAATGGGCAAAAAATATTTATTATAAAATATATATATTTTTAAACCAAATTAAATTTGTTATTGCCCATTTAAATATTTGAATGAAAATCTGTCACAACTTAGACTAATACATAAAACAACATTGTTTTATTGCCTAGCCATGCATTGTGTAAGACATTTCAGGACATATTTCTCCTCTTCACTCCACAATAAAAAACAGAAGATGAAATTGAACTGGTTTTGTTAGTTTGATGTCCTGGACTGTAACTGCCAGTAGAGTCAAACTCCTACTACCAATGACAACAGATGTTGCTTTGCCCCATGGCTCATTCATTGACTTCACTGTTAAAGTGACTCATAAAATGTTATTTAAAGCTAATTAGTCTGCATGTTCATGTCTAAATCCCCTGGTTTGCCTGAAACGGAATTATCTGTTAGATTTTTATACAGATAAAACAGCTAGGTCACGGCAGTCAGAAGCAGGAAACAGAACCTAAGCATTAACATATCGACACAATAACACCAAAATTAAGCAGGCAACAGTAAAAACTGCATCAGCGTTTATTTTTTTTTATTGCACATTATTTACATTACACAGTCCACCTCTGTACAGATGGTTAAAAGCCTTTAAAGCCTAAATCCTACAAGAATGATTGAAGTATTGTCCGGGTGTGATCTGAAAGGATAGCAGGCATGAGCAGTGGCTCAGAGCAAAAACATTGAAATTGACACACCTGCACTCTCAAAATGTGGAACAGTGAATCTCACACACCTTCTGAACAGCTGCTAATTAATAGGACAAAACGGTAGAACTCCTGGATGCACTTCATCCATGATCTAATTGTGCAAACATTCCTGTCTGATCTGTGCAGCTTTGCAATGGTGATTCTGATGTCTTCTCTAATCTAACTGCTAAATTCAGCAGATGTTTCTGAAGACAATAAGAGGGCAGCAGTATATTTTGGATTACAGCCTGGTGGAAACTGGTCTTTACAAAGATGTTAAAGTATCAACCTCTGTTAACAGCTATTTCACAGTTGAAAGCTTAGGCAATTTTCAGTCATGGCGACAGACTTGCAGCTGTCAGGAATGGCTAAAGGACATAAGAGATGTACATATTATTATTGTCATATTTTGCAGTTTTTTGACAGCAGATGGTGTTACTTTGCGCTTCAACTGGGCTCCCGAAGATATACACTGGTAACAGGATAAGAGGAGCTGTCAATCACAGGCAATGTCAAAGAGAACTTATGAGTTAAAAAAAATAAATCATAACAAGTTTAGATAGACCATATTGTGCATCCTCAAAAAGAAATATAATAAGTTGCCATAATCATCTTTACACTGTGTGTGTACATCATGGTGAGCCAGTGAACTCGTCTTCTGCTATCTCTCATTTGACTTCCTTTGCCCGGAGGACGCTACGCCCACTGCTTGTGTCTTGTTACGTGCCTGCGCGCATAAAAAACAGACAGACTACACGAGAGGCAAAATACACAGTCGCGAAACATGGCGAGGTTAAGCGAACATGGGATTCGTCTGAGTTCAGTATGTATTTCCCATTTTTTATTTGTATGACTTTTGCTTCAGAGGCAGAAGAATGACAGTTAAAAGTGAAACGAACTCACTGACTTGTTCTTAATTTCATTTCAAGATGAGCCCGTCCTTCCTGAACAGCAACTCTACAAGTCACACCTGGCCTTTCAGCGCGGTGGCAGAGTTAATAGGTAGGTCACAATATTGAATCAATATTATCGAAACTTCGCGTGGTCCCGTGCACCTGCAGCCGTGGTGCGCGCAACTTGTTGCAACTTTCATTGTTTTCATGCAGTCTTCCGCTGTCGCACGCACAGTGGACTGTTGCGTTAAACAGACATTTGTGTTGCTGCTAAGATGGACCGAATGGACTTCCTCTTTCTGTTCCACACCCTCGACGAGTTTATTACTGCTACGTGCCTCACATAATTGTCAGTGTCTGCTGACTGTATGGCGTAGGGGAGTTTCATGGTAATAAGTATGTTGTTAAGTAATGAAAAGTGAGCTTATTGTACTTTATGTTGTCAGTTATCTCACTAATAATATAGTTATAATAACATGTAAACAGTAGTTAAGTTTTAAAGTCCCTATGTATAGAATCACCATGGCTCCATAGGTCTTTGTGTTTAAAAGGACAGAGTGAGGCCAGCATTAAGAATCACTCCATGATTTGTACATGTCCCCCCACGTGATACAAAACTCTGTTTCTCTTTGATCAACATTTGTTGATGTGTCGTTTTTCCACTCTGTGCACTCTCATTGGTCCAGACGTGCTGACCATCTGTTGGCTGCTGAGTTTTAGCAGGAACATCTGTGGGAGTGGACTGTGTAAATGTAGGTGCACCCTGCACATCACTGCTTCCGTGATAATGTAAAGACAAGGTGACAAGAGTGCAGAGTTAGGGGCGTTACATCGGGAGTTCATATGTTGGCATTGGAAAACTAATGTTATTAAGGGAGTACCTGTGGTTCTCAGAATAGTGACTCAATAATTCACAAAAAGCTGGACAGCCCTGCAGCAAATTAACTCTGGGGATATTATGTTTAATGTTTGTTCAGCTGTCAGAAGGGTGTTGATCAAGATATGACATAAGCAAAAAGATGCACTTTATTGGTGTCAAGCAAGGAGCGCATAAAAACAGATGCATGGTAGATTAGAGAAGTAAACTCAAACTTTAATTTACTATATATTTATTAGCATTAATAGCATTTGTCTTTCATTCCCTGAAATTTGACATGTGATGGTAGGAAAATCACAGATGTATAAAATTAATGATGGCTGAATTCTATTTAGATGCTTCAGTTTTAGGGTCCTGGTATGTGCATGCTGGCTCACTGTCATGTTTACTGAAACACTTAAAGGGATAGTAAGTGATTGTAATCCAATACACTTTTTTGGTAAATTCAGTGAATATTTGCTCACGGTTTTCTAGCTCTCCGTTTTGTGTGTGCTCTGAAATTTTTTTTTTGTTTTTCCTTACATGGCTGTGTAAATGGAAAACAAAGTAATTGGTGTGGAACCTGCAACACAACATTGTTCCAGCCAATCACCAATAGGTGTCGTTAGTGCTTGTGCACAGCAGTGATGTGGGGAAGATGACAGAGGGAGAGAGAGTTCTATACACTGGCACATTCTAACGTGCTGGACTCCAGGCACTGTGAAGAAGGAGAGATGTCCGAGAGACAGCCAAAGAGGAAAAGGTCTGAAGAGTATAAACAGAAAAGGGAAAAAAGAGAATTTTGTGAAAAGCAGCAACAAACTTAATAAATTTGTAAACCTTGGTATTCTAAAGGTGCTATTCAAATATGTTTTGATTATAGTTAGATTGATTGATTTAAAAAACAATCACAGTTTTATAAAACCTGGGGCTTAATTTTCACCCCACTTTGTGGTACAAATAACACTGTAGCTATTCAGCAAGTCAACTGCTGCTATTTGGGAATGTCATGACATTGCTAAAAGAAGTCATAGGGAGCAAGAAACATGTCAGACAATCAGCAAACCCCCAGGTGTGTCAAAGATGTTTGGAAGAGAAAACAAAGGCAAATTAGTACTAGAGCTGTCTAGCTGATCTACACTGCAATAAAAGGTTCTTTATTTCCATGTCTGCCACATGGATTATCAACTAGTGAGAATAGACTTTTTGCCTGGAACATTTAGCCTCAGTTTTAGCCTCAGTTTTAGCCTCAGTCTTGTGGCACACTGGAGGCATCAAGTTCTTAAGACCCTTTTTCAAGGTCCCCATTTAACACAAGTCAGCTTGAAACAATAAGTCAGTAGGAAACAGCATTTTCAACCAACTTACTGAGCTAATGTTTGCTTAATTCTGCTATTCCAGCTATTCTAGCTATTAGCTAGCTAGCTACAGCTGCCAAAATAGACATTCGCCAGCCAGAAATGAGAAGCCTGCTTTTGTGTACCTGTCTTAAATCAATGAAAAATAACACATCTATACATATGAGTAAGGTTTCCGTTTGTAAATGTAAGTGTAGTGTAAGTGTTTGTTTTACGGCTTTTGTTTTGTTATTTCCTGTAAACACAGAAGTAGTTTATTTTGAACAAGTTTAAATGTAGCGACAAACGTACATTGATAGTAAAAAGGTAACAGGAAAGGTAAATAGTAGCCTACGTTACGGTAGCACACTGAGCTCACAGGGACTGATAAGGCTGAACGGGGAGAGTGTAACTTGAGTTTAGCTCCAGTCGTAAGTGGAAACAATTATGTGTAAGGAATGTATATATTTGTAAGGATTTTAAATTTATGTGGTAGGTAATTTTGCTAATAAGCTTTGTGTTGGTATTGGCTAATGAATGTAACGATACTGAGTTGTAACTTATTTCTCTTGCCTTCCTGCGTGCTTACACGTCTGTGATCAGTTCTTATATTGGTTTAATGAAGTGCACAGCAAACAAGTAAAATTACTTTAGACTATCAGTCAGTAGCTTTCATTAATTTTTGTATTAATTTTTCTATTCTATTATTAGAAAATAGGACTGAAAAAACATTTTACTCATTCATATTTGTAAAAAAAAAAACTTTTCAATTTAATTGTTTTGAATGTTCTACCTCTGGTTCTGCCTTTGAACTAAAAAAGAAATAATGATTTGACATTTATCGTGATTTGGTTAAACTGTTCTTCTAATTACAACTTCTAATTGTGGTCCCAGTCCTCAGTAATTGGTGAAATGGAGGGTTATTATTACCAATAAAAGGGATATAAACACCAAGTGTGAGTGAACACTACAAAAACAAGTTATAATAAATCAAAACTTTTCTTGAATAATAATGAATTGTAATAGTTTTTTATATATCTATAATTACTATGAATGGACCACATAGCAGAAACACTAAATCAATGTGAATGAAGGGTAGATGAGAAAATCTCTCTTCCCTCCACCCTACAATCTGTATGACGGTCTCTCTTTCCCTATTGTTAATTGTTTTCTTTCCCTCATGTTGTAGACAATGCATCAGATCCAGGTGTGTCTGCTAAACAGATCTGGATAGATGTAGTTGAAGAAGCTGGTCACCTTTGTCTAACTTTCACTGATAATGGCAGCGGCATGACCCCCAGCAAACTGCACAAGATGCTCAGGTAAGGTGAAGTTGACATGTAAATGAAAAACACATCAAAAATGTAATGGCATGTTGCAACAGAAATGTAATCATTCACACTGACATAGTTTCTTCTGTATTTTAACCGCAGAGAGTGACTCACCAGCATTTGTTGTATGTACATGTTGTATTCTTTCTCATACCACACACACACACACACACACACACACATTCAACCACAAAGACCCTCATGTCACAGTGTCCATCATATTCACACAGTACACACAAATAAACATGTGACACCAATAAACAAAGAACTGAACCTGGGTGTGTTTCCCAAAAGCATCATTGCTAACTATGGTAGCAACTTCCTTGGTTGGAAATATGCAGTTGCAACGCAGCTGTTTCCCAAAACCCTAGTTCGAACTATGGAGGTAACTAAGTTGGTAACTTACGTGGTACGAACCATCGTTAAGCGATGTAGGTGTTCCCCGAAACCATAGTTCTGACGAACTTCCGCAACTACTGTCGTTAAGTTGCATAGTTCAAACTACAGCTCCTGACCTGTGGTAGAAGCTCAGTTCATGGTGACTACGTCACAGATAGCGGAAAATGCAGTCTTAGGAGGTGGATGTAATGTGTGTGAGCAGGGAATGTTAGATAACCCTGCTATACAAATATATTTCAGGCAAAGTTTTTTTTAATTGCAGTTGTAAAAATTATTTTAAATGTATTTGTCGGTCATGGGTAAGGTTGCATTAATTCAGTACTAAGTAAGTAGTGCAGACCATCTACAAAAAGCAGGTGTTTTTCTCACAAATTACCCATCTGTTCACAATAACTTAATTTACCCAGTCACCCAGTACAAATGTTAAAGGACAAAACCGAAAAAGTAAAGACAAGACTTTTAATGATACCTTCATGTAAACATTTCTAGGACTACGAGGAAGATGGATGTTCTCTAGTCTTCATTACAAACATAAATATAAAAAGGGACAGCATAAAATTCATGAAAGTACTGTAATGGCGCTTTCAGACCAAAAGCGAAGCGAGCGTTCAGTGTAGGTGACGATTTTTAACTCAAGAGAGAAATTCGCATGACGCTGTGTTGCGATAGCCTATCAACGTTGAGATTGTCCGTACGTCACCGACAGCTTCAGAGCGTTGTGTGGAGAGGGCCAGGGAGAGCGGGCGATTGAAAATCTGCAGGCCGGCTGAGAGCTGCTAAACTTGGGCTAGGGGAGCAGGGAGCAGCGCTCCAGCTTTCGGACGAATAAACACCCATGGTCGGACTGGATTTTCCTCTTACAACTACGCCGTTTACTCGAGGGAGGAGCTCGGAGTAAACTACCTTTATTAAATTGGCTTTTTACTTTAGTTTTTATAATTACAATGTTGATTTATCTTCACTCGAGCTTCTCAGCGGCTAGTTTCCGTGCACATCCAGTTTCAGTGTTGTTAGCGTCATTTGGTACTGCTTCATATTTATATAAAAACCGGACAAAACTGGACATTGCTGGGAGACAAGAAAGCGAGGAGGTTGAACTACCTGGTGAGTTCAGAAAACATGTGTATGAAACTTTAGTCCAGCTATCGTTGTACTTTACTGGGACCAAGTTAGCATAGCATAGCCCTGATTGATCCGAACTCCATTCAGAAAACAAACATTTTAGAAGTTGTTGTCCTGCTGTCTTGCTGACAGACCTGACAAAGCATGAATTCATATGTTTAACAAAACTGCATCATATTGTAGTTATTTCGGCATCAGTTTGATCCATTTATTGCTATTTAATCACAGCAAAATGTTTACTTTGGTTTCATACAGCTGTAGTAGTGGCGAGTTGTGTTTATACACGTCATCACGTTAAAATCGCCTTGTGGTGTGAACACTTGCAGCGAATGTACTCACGCGAGGAGAAAATTCGCGTTTGGTCTGAATGCGGCAGTATAAACAAATCCCTGAGAGCTTTCGTTGAAATGAAGATACTTGCAGATAAAACCTATTTTACTAAATGTCTCGTAATCGTTAGTAGTTCTTAATTCTTTCTTCTAAAATGTTGTTATTGCTATAATAAAATAGCTATAGCTTATAGCATAATAATGTCACTTAATATCGGTCACAACTTACATATTTAGGCAGAATATGACAACGTTTTGTGAGTTTCATGCTGTGAAAAACAGGCAAACACATCTGAAAACAAGTTAGTTCTAATTATGTCACGGTGGGACTAACAAGGTACAACAGTTTTGGGAAACAGTTGTACTTCAGATGTTGGTTAGTTTAAGGATGCATCTTACCAAGATAATTCAATGCTACCAATGCTATCCGTGGTTGTACGGGAAATGCACCCCCTGTTAGTGGATTTTTCAGTAACTGAGTAACATAGATTTAACTTAAGTATGTAAATAACGTTTTTTTCTTTCAGTTTCTCAAATGTGAGGATTTGCTACTTTGCTCTGTTATTTATATAATTATTTACTAAATGTCTTTGGACTGTCTTTTAGACAAAACAAGCAATGTTTACATTTACATTTACTCATTTGGAAGACGCAATATGAAGCTTTGCTCTGAAAAATCACGATTGATTATTGATGACTCACCCTCCCTTTCACCATTATGTCCAGCTTTGGATTTACAGAAAAGGGTTCAGGTAAGGGCAGTCAGCAGGCCATTGGCGTGTACGGGAACGGTTTCAAGTCTGGCTCCATGCGCCTGGGCCGCGATGCGCTCATCTTCACCAAGAATGGCGGCTGCCAGACTGTGGGAATGCTGTCTCAGACCTACCTGGAAAACATCAAGGCCCAGGCTGTCATTGTCCCCATTGTCCCCTTCAACCAACAAACCAATATCCTTCATGAAGTGATGGGCATGGGAAGGAAAAAATAAGAAGTGTGTGCAATAGTTTGTTACTCAGCATGAGTGTATCTTCATGAGTTCTTGGTGTAATAACTAGAAACCATCAAGTGCATTAGCATGACAATTTACAGTGTGATTGTCTTAAATGCAAATTGGCAGATCGAGCTGTTTGCTCTTTCACTTTGTGTGTACACATTCCTTTATGTCCTGACCTTAACTGAGCGTTACAGTCTCTGGTGGTGACTGAGGACTCGGAGGCCAGTCTGGCAGCCATCCTCCAGCACTCCATCATCACTTCCCAGGAGCAGATACATGCACACTTTGACTCCATTCTCTCCAAAAAAGGCACCAAGATATTAATCTGGAACATCCGCAGGTCCAAATCACATATTTGCTCATGCTGAATTTAGGTTAAAAGTGAATGATAACAGACGTGTTTCATATGATAAGACTAACACCACTCTCATATCTAGGGAGTAAACAACCAAGATATAACGTGTTAATTAGTGAGCTTTAGAGGTTCAGGCACAGTGCCAGACCTCCTCCTTTCAGTCTTTATACTAAGCTTACCATTTCCTGGCTATAGCTTTATATTTACCATACTGACATGAGAGCGGTATCAATCTTCTCATCTAACTCTTGGCAACACAGCCAGTAAACATGTTACCCAAAATATATTCCTTTAGGTAGAGTTCACAAAAGCATTCTTGGTTTGAGTTTGTAGTTCCTAGATGTGTGGAGGTTAGGTCTAATATACAGCATGTGGGACGGATGAATATGCAAACCTAGACTCCAACAAAGGCCGGCACATAAGCATGAACACACATGTGATATTTGTTTAAGCATAATTTAAAACAAATCAATGCAAAACAACACACATTCAAAAACAAACCCTCATATCAGCATCATATGAAGAGCAGAGACAATGTGAAGCCCTTTGTTCTCGTGGCTTTCATAAGAAACGTTCTCTAATGGCTGCTTAGAGCAACGGTTCATGTTAAAGAGTTTCTTAGACTTTCTTTCACTTCCTCTTTACATTGGAGTCTCCATTGTGATCCTTCAAAAACTGTGAAGCACTTACCAAGATTAGCCAGAGAGAGATTAAAATCATGCTGCTTGTACTCCAGGATAAGGCGATTACACTCAAATTGGTCTGGACAGTGGTGCCCGTTAAACACATTCATGTAGCTTTAAAAAACAGAAAATCCAGCAGGTGTTAGATAAACTGCTAGTCTGAGAGCAGTGGTGCAAAGTGTGTCATTACTAGTTTTAACAACCGCTCCCTCATATGTCACCCTGAAGGGCCAAAGATGGCAAGCCAGAGATCGACTTTGAGACAGATGTGAGTGACTTCCGTTTGCCCGATATTCAGATCGAGGAGCTCAAGAAGGGTCTGAGGAACAGTGGGTCTCTGAGAGCCGAACAGAACATCCCAGACATGCACTACAGTCTCAGGGTGAGTATGAGTGAGTATGTCACCTGTGTGATAGTATTTATGAATAAATCCCCTGAATCCCATCATACAAAGATACAAAATGTCCCTTCTTCTTCTTTCTTCACTGAGGAGTATATAAGGATGTTGGATGTTCCACCTGCTATTGCAAGAAACACATCAGGACATCTTTAACTCTGGTTCTATTGTCAAAATAGCATTCTCTTCCTGTTTAGTGTCTTCATAGTGTTTGGTGTTTAATATTCTTTCCAACAAGTGGATAAGAAGAATTCTGTCATCCAAGGAAGTTCAGTTTCATTGCTAAATCACACCAAACAGTGTAGAAATTGACAAAACAAGGTCCATTTGGTAGCTGTTCTTGAGCTTTTGATCATATCACAGGATTTTATTAAAACATATTTTTGCTGCCCTGCTGCTTTCAGCAATGAATTTTTCAGATATTCAAGTGGATTTTCAGTGGTTTATTTATTTTATAGAGGTGGTATTATGCTCATTTTCAGGTTCAAAATCTTATTTAGGTTTACATGGTTTAATTTTCGAAAAACACAATAATTTCTGTCATACTGTACATTGCTGCAGCTCCTCTTTTCACCCTGTGTTAAAGGCTTCGTTTTTAGCTTATGGAGTGATACATCTTGTCTATAAATGATCTTTGTTGGGAGTTGCACATGCACAGTTCCTAGTTAATCAGAAACAGAGAAGGGCAGGCCAGCGAAAAGACCGCAAACAGCTTCGATTCAGCTGTAGGCTATATGTTGCCGACCAGGTTGACAATTTGGACTGGAGCAAGAGTTTCAGAGTGGTGAGTTATTAATCTGTAACAAAAGTATTTTTCATCCATAAAGTTTTAATCAAGCTCTGTCTCTACATCACTGTAACAACTTCATGTCCATTGACTGCCTGGAGGGTAGCTAGTGTTTGGAAGGGAGAGGAGAGGTGGGCGCTGCAGCTCATTGTTTTTCCACTGGTGTTTTTGAGGCCGTGTCGGACTAGTCGCTCAGCGAGCATTATGACACGTATTTTCATTGTGATGTCACAAGACAGGGAAGTAAAGGCTTGACTACAAACCAGCTATTTTCAGGCAGTTCAGAGCAGTGTTTTCTGTGGGAGATGGGAACTCACTTTGGGGTGGACTTTGGGCTTTTTCACTTTGCAAACCTATTACATGCACAAAAAGATATATAACTCAATAAAGGAGAGGGAAAAAGCAAAAAACCATAATACCACCTCTTTAAGAATTTAGAGATTTTTTTCAACCCATGTAGGACTAGGTCATTCTTCAATTTACCTGGAAAAGAAAAAATCACCACAATGCAAGATACAAGCTTTTAATGAATTACAGTAGATTTAAGGGTAAGTGATGAGGTGGTTGTGGTAAAGGTTTGGGTAAGCCCCTACACTACATAGCATACTTAAGTTAGGGTTAGGGTAGTTATGTGTGTGTGTGTGTGTGTGTGTGTGTGTGTGTGTGTGTATTTGACAGTTTCAAGCACAACCTGAGTACTTTTACTACCCCGAGATGTACCTGTGGTTTTGTAGTGACACTGACCGAGTTTCATGTTAAAGCCACATTGAAATTGTAAGTGGTTCAAAAATCCCATCTCTGTTTTGACAATCTTAGAATCATTGTATGATTCATAATTACATGCCGTTTAGAGCATGTAAGAGCGTCTTAAGCTTAAATAATGTACCCTCAGGCTAAGATATCAAAATGAGTGTTAACAGATGGTGTCAGACCAAAAAGACGAATGAACAGTAGGTGTTTTAAATTTGAAATGTCTTACTTTTTATACACTCTCTCTGTCTGTTTCTCTGTTCGTCTCAGGCCTACCTCAGTATCTTGTATCTGAAGCCAAGGACACAGATTATACTGAGGGGCAAGAAGAATCTGGCGAAGCTGGTGTCGAAGAGGCTGACCCACATTGAGCATGATGTGTACAAACCCCACTTCAGTGTATCCCTACACTATCTGTATGTTTCCCTGTGTGTGGTGTTATAAAGCCAATTAATTGTCTGCAAAGTCCAAAATATCTACAATATTTAACAGATGTTTGAGAAGGGAAAATGAAAACAAGCGGCACAGATTCAATTCATGTGGTTTTCATATCTCTTTAGAATGCATTATTGTTTCGCTTTCATAATTCTTGTTGTTGTAAAATGAGAATTTTGGCAGTGTGACTTTGCTGTAGCCTGGGAAAGCCTTTCTGTTGTTTTTGTTTTGGCAAGGCCAAACTTGTTGCACATAACAAGAATGAAAGTTAAAATAAATTAGGCAATTACATGGACCTTTTCTACACAGTTCGAATGCACCTCTCTCTAAGCTGTCAGGGGTGTTTGTTAGCAGTTTTTTGTTTTTTAATGAAAAGACACATTTGCTCTGGAAATATAAGTAGGATAGGTAAGATATATATAGATAGATAGATAGATATAGAGATAGATAGATATTATAAATGCAGAATTATGCTGTATTTTAAATCTACAATGCCTACTTTAAACAACTAATGTTAATAGTAAGTGATTTCTGTAATTTGGAGATGCGAGTCTGGGCACAGATGAAACATGCTTGTTGAATGTCTGACATCTTGATACTTTTTTTGGTACCAACTGAAATCTGTCTGTAGCACAGAGGAATGAAAACGGTCAAGTACTGAAAGCTGGTATTAAATGTCTGGTCAGATTTAAACCAAAAATGGCCTACCAAAATTCTCGTGTATAGACAACAATTAACATTTTAAAACAGTGGCTTCTCTTGTGAAATGAACTGATCTTTCTCAAAAAAACGTATTGATCGGCTATCTTATCGGCACTAGTGATGAAGATATTCACTCAACACTCACGTGTCTCAAGTTGGTGAGCAGTGTGGAGCTAACATTTTTGCAGTTTCAAACCTTTTCCTTAATGCACTGTTCAGTTTTCCCCATTTTTTTCTGTTAAAAAAATTGCCTCCTTTCATTGAAAATGTATTGTAGTTTCAATAATTGCAGGTACTATTTTATTCCTTTAATTAATATCAACCACAAACTGTATAATGTGGCTTTTGCTTCTGTTCGCCACTGATATCTTGAGCTTGCAAAATATTTAGATTACCTGATATTATTCTAAACCTTCCAATGTCCAGTGCTGTTAACCTTGACTGGTGTTTGTCAGAAAGAGAAGGTAAAGGTGACTTTTGGGCTGAACCCGAAAAACAAGGACCACTACGGCATCATGATGTACCACAAGAACCGACTCATTAAAGCCTACGAGAAAGTGGGCTGCCAGCTGAAGGTAGAGGAAAATTATTTACTGTATCTCTTTATGCCTGACAAATGCAATGTTTGCATCCAAATGCTGTATTAATGGATACCTGCCTTTGCTTAAATGTCACTTCCCAATGTCCCACAGACTTCAGGTCAAAGGGCGGGAGTCGGGGTCATCGGTATCATTGAGTGTAACTTTCTCAAACCAGCTCACAACAAGCAAGACTTTGAATACACCAAAGAATACAGGTACAACATACACATACAAAACAAACAAAAGCAGACAGACACAAGATGTTTTGTGCTAAAATGAGCTATAGAGTATCCAGCTTTTTAGGTTGATGGTTGACATACAGCAGATAAGGGCAGAAAATACTGCTACACACTGTATTCGCAAAGTTCTGAGCAAACATAGCACCACTGACTTTCTTCCTGGAAGTGTTTAGAATTTCCGCAAATGTGAGTGCATTATAGCTGAACAGCTGACCACAGCTGAAATCTTGACATTGATCCCAGTATTGTTAAAGTTGTTTTGGCCACAAAGTAGAGGAGCAGACCTTGTTTAAAACATCTGAAGAAATGTGTTGTCTTTTCCTTCTCCCAAGACTCACCCTTGGTGCATTGGGCCTAAAACTCAACGACTACTGGAAAGAGGTGACAGAGAAGAAGGCAAGAGAGCGAGAGTTTCAGGCTCTAGAGAGAGATGAAAATGAAGGCGAGCATGACCATGCCGAGTGAGTGTTTTCATAACTTGTCTCCGAAATACATAAAAGGCGCTTAACGTTATTAGATGTTCAAAAAACAAGTTCATCTGGTTCGTCTGGCTGTACCCAAAACTGATAAAACCACAGGAAGAGTGAAAACAATTTGTCCACGTTCTCCTTACCTTTTATGGAAAACGACGGTAAAAGATCCGTTGATAACCCTCACATGTAGGAACTTGTCAGTTCAACTGAAACTGAAAATAAATCATTCTTTTCCAAAGCGTGAAACCAGAGGATTGAGATGCTGCTTCTGGACCGGCTCTGTTGACATTAGCATAGAAGAGAAAACATGTGGACTGGATGCCTTTATAGCCTTTTGAGCTTTGTTTATATGGTGTACTGAACTAGAAACCGAAAAATATTTTTAGCTTGTACCGTGGTAATCGATGTCATCTGTCCAGGTCAAATTGATCACTAAAGGCGGATAATTATTATAACCGAATTATTATTTTTTCTTTATTTCTAATTTTATTGACTTTCAACAGTGCAGCTGTTTAAAATGTTTTCAAATTACTGTACAAATTAAATTACTGTACTGTGTGTAATTGATATGCACTACACATTAATACTGTACTGTGTATAAAATATAGCTTACTATAGTTCAGGTTATAATTAGGTTATAGCCTAAAACCGTATTGTGCTGTTTACAGATACAGTAAAGTCAGTAGTGTCAATAAGCTACTAAGCCAAAGCTTGGCTGTGGTTTCAGTCATGAAAATAAAATGAAGAAAAGATTAAAAAAAACAAAACTGACCAGTAGCAGAGTTTGAATACAAACGTATTCATACAATATTCTGATTTCTTTCCATTTTTTGTCATGTATGAAAAGACCCAAAATGAGCACTATATGCTACTACTTGACTATTACAAGATTATTATTATAAAATGATGATAGCATTTGTATAGGAATGATTCTGTTCCATGTTTGATCCATATAAGTGTATATATGATCACTAGAGATGATCATTATAAGCGGTTTCCACTAGATGCTCTTGATCAGAAACATTGCTGTATACAAATGTAGACTCACTGAGATCATTTTAAAATATTTAATAATACTTTGGGGAATTCCCCGCTAATGCCAGCTTCTGTTTACTGACAGTTCTCACACACGTATGTCTGTATTTACAGGGCACCCATGTGGTTACAGTGTGAAGAGTGCCTGAAGTGGCGAAGCGTCTCTGCAAATCATTATAAACTGGTTCCTGAAAGCTGGACCTGCAGCCAGAACCCCAATCCACGTTACAAGTGTGTATTTCTAATTATGGCTTTCCTGCATTATTGTTTTTTTTAATTGAATAACTGTCACAATCAAACAAACATAAAAGTAACAATTATTCCACACTCAACATTTATAAAGTATTAAAGGAGCACTCTGCTAAGTGACATCATCAGGGTTATCTTGGATTGGACTTTTGTTGGGGACCTTTATTGTATCTCTGTCTCCCTGGATTCCTGTCATATCTCTACAATGTCTCTAATATGTCTATAATAAAAGATTTAAATGCCCCAAAATAAATGAGTAATCACATGTTTAAATCCCTGATTGATTTGTAAGTTGCAAAACCTCACTAGTGTAAGCTTAAAGTAGTGATGTAAGACTCAAGAAATCTACATGTGCCTCAACAGTTAAAGTGTTTGTGTCGGCTGTAGCCGGAAGGCCCTGAGTCTAACTTTAGCAGTAGTTGAGTTGCTAAGCCAGATCTCTGTGTCTTTCAGAAGCTGTTTGACACCAGAGGAAGCAGAAGAAAGTGAGGAGCTGTTAGCACCGAGCTACCAGAAAACCCACAAGAAGCAGTAAATTCCCATTTCTTTCTCAAAGTGTGTGTGTGTGTGTGTGTGAATTCACAAATGGACGTTTCATACTGCTCCCTCTGCACTGCACGCCTGCTTGTGTATGTGGGTTCACATGCCATTTTGTGGTTTCCATCTGTCAGTTTCATGCTCTTATTTCCGGTGGTTGCCCACGTGACTGTGTATTTCTGTCTGACAAGCTGAGAGAACTCTAGTTCTGCTATACTCCAGCCTGACTATGATCGACACAGAAGGACTTTTTTTGTTTTTCCAAACATGGTGACATTTTATTCAGAATAAAGCTAGATAACTTTGGATAGATAACTAGGTTGCAAGCTAATTAAGTACAGACTAACTTACAATCTAATGTCATGTATATAAAAAGTAAAAAATATCATAAAACATTTCATTAGACTATGGCTAATGCTGAAGGGCTACTATCTGTTTTTCTAGTGCTTACCTACTTTCATAGTAACCAATAATCATTCTACCAATTGGATTGGAGACAAAAAAGCCAATCAGAAATGACCTACTGCAGTTTTCTGATTGGCTGTAACTGGGGCATCCACAGAGAAGTGCCCAAGGGTTTGGGAGCACAGAGAGCAGGAGAGAGGGCAAATTAGTAAAACTTATTTGGATGACAGCAAACACAGTTTTGGAGCAAGAATAGATTTTTGTTTTCTTAAATTAAATTATGTACACAATAACAATTTCTCCACAAAATTATTTACATGCTTGCATTTCTCTGCTCAAGATGTCCCATCGTGCCTTGAGGCTTGAACACATATACATATGTTACATAATTACATAACACCAAACAGTGTACTGCGCATTTTAGACTTGCCTTTTTATGCCTGCTGACCCTTCATGCTAAAAATCACAAAAAGAGTTCTTGTTGTTTCAGAATAATCACAGAGATGAATTATATTTGTCAAGGCAAGCCATGAAACATTTAGTTTCTTAGACTTAAACCTTGCCATATTTTGAGTGTCTGTCCCTCTCAACTCTTTAATCTGTTTTTTTTCTCACAGGGAGCATCCCAAAACCAGAAAACGAGAAAAATCAATGGAGGTAGGTGAAAAATTAGAACCTTTAAGCAAATTTCTATAGGTAAAGGTACCAGTGCACTGTTTCGCTGTACCACTTCTGGATATACTGCGTGTATTGTAAGTGTTCCTGGTTGTTTGTGTTGCAGGTGTGTGTGGTCCAGCAGCAAAAACATCAAATCCTCTCACGCAGTTCATCAGAGCCGAGCCAGCCCACACACACACCTGAGCTCATAAGAACAGCAGATCGAAGACACACAGTGGAAAACACACTAGACCAAGATGAGACAAACACAGATCACCTGGCAGATGATTGTACAGACCCACACGCACATGATGATGCACAGACAGATGAAGTCACACACACACAGCACAAGCACATTGGAAGAGACTCAGTCATTAAAGACAACGCAGGAGTCACAGAAGAGCAGGCACATGTGGAAAATGAGACAAACAATCAAAGGCTTGACGATGAAGAGAGAGACAAAAGGAAGGACACCAACATGGAGCCGTTGGAAAGAGAGGAGGGGAAGACAGACACATTAAGGTGGAGTAGGATGCAAGTACATCCTTTAAAATACTGCACAGTGTATTTCACAGTAGTGCCATCTTTTGCAAAAGGAAATCCACTGTCGATTCAGTTCCACATGAGAAACTTACAAAGACTCCACAATAAAGTTGTGTGTGTTAATGCAGTTGGGAGTTCATCTGATAAATGACACAGTTCAAGGTGTTATTTTAGACATTTCCTTTTACATCAGTGTTTGGTTATTTCTGGGTGTCGTTTTTGAGAACATTGTTCTGGAGGCAAGGCCTTTTGGCTGTTGATGCTCAAATCTGATATAAAGGTGTGCTTGTACAACAGCCAGAGTTCTCCTCCACAGACAATTTAAAGGCTTTGCCGACTGTTGTATGATGTTTCAAGAGCACAGAGCCAAATCACTCTAGGGTGGCAGACAATTTTGTGGGTGATAAGCTAAGTCATTAGAGGTGGCTATTAAGCATTACTGACACTGCTATGAACATGACATTAATTGACAGTAAACACAATACGGAGAAGATGCGCTGGCATTTTTCCAATTATACAGTTACAGAAGTTACAGAATTTTCACACAGTATTGGTCTTCAAACAAACTCACTAGCTTTTGTTCTCTGTAGCCACAAAAGGAAATCAGGATCATTGTTATACCGTGTGAAAAAGAAGCCATGCCTTTGGGGGGAGCCACAACCGGACTCAGAAAACATGGCAGAAGAGATGAATCCTGAGAAACCCAATACACTGTCTTTGAGGAAGTCCAAGCAGGACAGCAGCAGCCGAGGAGAGAAACCAGGTGACGCGGTACAGCGAACCCCGGCCAGCCTCACTTGGACCCACTCGCTCCCCTCCACCCAGACTGTGATGGTGTCTCCACTGAGTCGAACAGAAGGGCCGTGGAGCAGACCGCTGCCTCCGGAAGGGAGTGACCGGGAGGCTAACGCGCAGAAGCTGACTGGGTTGGAGAAAGAGACCCAGAGGCTGCGGAGGCTTCTAGGTCTGGAAATCACAAAGACAACTCAAGGCACGATGACAACTGCTGATAGCAGCGCTGAAAAGCCAGAAGGAACCAGCAGGGAGGTCGGCTGCCAGACGGACGTGGCTGAGGTCAGCAGAGTTTGTATATCTGTATTTTAGATTCATTATGATGACGAAAAATTACAAAACATATTTGCTGTAAAGGAAATTAATAGGGAAGCATGGAAAGGCTGACCAACAGAGCTCAGAGTGCTATATTACAATATATGACCACAGTGCTTGAGAAGAAGAACTTATAAGGTGACCTAAAATGCGATTGTGATTCAAGGTCACCTACATCTGCTCAGACTCATTAATCGACGGAAAGGAAGAATCTAACGGCGAGATCTAAGTAACATTCTGCTGTCCTTCCTCTGCATCAGAGCTCCTCTTCTTCCAGCAGCCGGGCCCAGACTCCAGGAGCTCAGAGTCAGAGAGCTGTATGTGGGCAGAAGGAGCTGCCTGACCCAAACAGACCCAGGAAGGAGAAGACGGAAACTCAGAGCAGGACGAGAGTCAGTGAAAGTGAGGCCTGTGAAGACGGCAGGTGTGTATTCATGTACACGTTGAGTTCTCCTTGCATTTTTGTGTTTGGCTGATGCTGGTTGACAGTGAGTTAGTGTACTGGTCAGAAGTTAGGTACTCAGTCACAGCTTTTATTTATAGATCTCGGTAGAGGATAGAGGTAAAACAAAATCCAGTACATGCAAAATAAGTACACATGAAGAAATAGCTGAATGAACATCAGCCTAGACTGCGGTTTGCCTTTGTGTAATTTTGTTAAGTTAGACTTTCCAAGCATGACAAACAACTGTCTCTATATAGCTACAGTATACAATCTTGGTTTTTAGAGGAATTTCCTATTTAACAGATAAACCAATCTTAGTATGAATGCCAGCTGCTACCTTTACCAACGTACTATTTTTTTTTTCTCTCACTTCTCGTTTTTTAACATTTAAGTGAAGTGATGTCATTTTCTAAACACATCTTTAGACCTTGGTCTCCATGTTTACTGATGTGTGAATAAAATAAAATAAAATTTACCGAGTGACTGAAATGTTTAATGGTAAAGCGGTTCCCCAATCAGATCGGCACAGGAGAATCTGCGTGGCATCCGTAACAACGTGGTGGTGCTTCTCACGGCTCTGCTGCCCCAACTGGACCTGGCTGGCATCAGTCTGGAGACCACAGACGTCGACAATATCCTGCAGCAGATCGTAGAGGTCAACTCACTGAAACTATGATCAGTACTGTTTGCTTATTATTATGCCAAATGCTAAATATACAGCATATGGTAATAATTATATTCTAGTGGTCACTTGGAAAGTAATGTCATTTTCACTTTATTCTTCATTACTGGAGGTGCTTGTGGATGAACTCCATAATATAATGTTTTTATATTCTTACGTTCATCGGTTTGACGTCTTAATAGAAACAACAATCTGCAGCTGGTTTTAGTCACTCAGAGAGAATATTTTAACTTAATCTAGAGGAAGAAAAACTATGTTTGAAAATGTTTTATCCAATTCAGAGTTGTAATACCCAGCGTTCATTGGCTACACACACTTTTTTTTGTCACATCATTTTCAAACTTTGTTGTGAGCCGGCCAGCCCCATTTCTGTACAAAAATTAGCTTTTTAATTTTAACCAAGCTCTTCATTTGAAAAAAGTGCTATGCGCTGCTGTTATTTGCTTGGCTTAAGTTTTTATTGACTATTTAAACCAGTTTTTATACATGCGTGGCATTAGAGTGTCATGAAGGAATGCTTGTTTCTAGATTTGTTCACATATCCTTTATAAACGTTTGCATTAAAATACTGAAACATTTTATTGTACCCTGCCTCTTCATTTTCAGTTGGTTCATCAACACTGTGCTCTTTGTCCAAGGCAAAATGCTGAACTTCTGCAGTACATCTTATTTGCCACAAGGTGGCAATGACGCCTAATAATTAAAAAAAACATGCTTGCAATCTCCACATTTTGAGTGTTTAAATTGTGGTGACCTCGAAAATCCTCCTGTCATTACATTTGACCATATTTGCTGTTTTGTTCTAATTCTATTATATGTTCCTTGTGATGTTTGGGTTATTATTGTATTCTGGTACAGTTATGTATTAGGCTACAACATTACAAGCGCAGCATACAGTCAGCCAAAAGCTCTGGTTACAGTTTGGACAAATTGTTAATATAATAATTTTAGGGAAATTTTATAATATTTTTTCATAGATTGACATACTCCTATTTACAGCTGTGTGTTTGACTATCTGTCTATCTTGTCCAACTAGGGTACCATGACCAAATAAGCCAGACTTTATAAAAGGTTTATCAGTTGTAACTAATGGCTTCATTAAGGGTTATTAATGCTTTATAGGTCAGTTATAAACATTAACAACAACAATCATTTAGCTGGTTTTTACCCTGTCTGTTTTGTGATAACGCAGTTATAAATGTTGGCAATCCATAATGGTCCTATGTTTCCCATTTTCACATAAGTGAATAAAAGTTGCTGGAGCAGGATCAACACCAGATAAAGGAATCTTTCACAACCTGGCAGCCCAACATTTTTATTTGTGTATTATAATGGGTGCCTTATTAAAAATGCGATAGAAGATTAGCCCTCTGTTTTATATTTATGTAGGCCCACGTAATTTATGAGTGTGTCCAAGACAAATGTATCCCCTGGGACAGTAAACTGTCAGCTGATCTTATCATAGCAGAGCTCTGCGCAATCTCACCCTCACACTCTCTAACCACCACGCGCCCCAACTGTGTCCGGCTTCGCTGTTACTCGTCCTCTCTCCACCCCCTCCCTTTAAATATTTCAGACCACAGGAGGAGCAGCAGAGACGCGGCAGTGTTTGACCCGGGACACGGTGGAGATGACAGGTGCCCACATCGCGATAAGAGCGGCACTCATGCTGCTGCTGCCGCTGCTGCTCCTCTGCTCCTCCGGCGGAGAAGCGCAGCAATCCGCTGCAGCTGTAAGACAGTATTATATAGCAGCAGTAGAAATCGGCTGGGACTATATCTACCTGGACGATGTTGATCCAGCGTCCGACCAAAGGTGAATATTTCTTTGTTTAATTTAAGGCAACACACTCTGCTGTCATTTAGACCTAATAGCCAGTTCCAAAAGGCTGGTTTTATTAAATCACTGGCACATCTGGCAATATTTTTACAATGCTTCCAATTTAAGCTCATCTTTTGTGGGGGAATTTATTAGAAACTAGTAACTTACAGTTAAGATGGGTAAGACTGATCAAGAGGGGTGTTTTAAGTGCTTTGTGGTAGTTTTCTTATTGTTTGATTGTTTGGTTTCATTAATAACCCGCGTTTTGTGTTCTTTTAGAAGGAGAACCAAAGATATTCCACAAAAATACATCAAGGCAGTTTATAGGGAGTATACAGACTCCACCTACACTGTCCCCAAAACAAGGCCAGCATGGACCGGTAGGTCTCCTGTTTTGGAAATTTTCTCAATCAATCCAAAAAACTGTCTGGAACCTGCAGTGTACAGTAATTTGTCAAATTTCCAGTTGTTTTCCAGCCAAGACAGACACTATAAATTCAGTGTTGTCATTTCTGTTAAAGGGCATATTTCAGATTTGTTTTAAATTAGGGGGGCATTTGTATGACTTCAATGTGGAAACTTACAAAACCTACAAAAATATATATTATGACTACGTTGTGTATTCTGGTTGCAGGTATTCAAGGCCCGGTGATCGTTGCCCAGGCTGGGGACAAAGTGGTGGTCCACTTCAAAAACCTGGCCTCTCAGCCCTACAGTATCAGCCCTGTGGGCATCACCTATGGGAAAAAGTCTGAAGGTAGTGAACTAAATGAAAGTAACTGCTGTCATCCTTTTAACTTTTTTTGCCCTCCATCACAAACCGAACATTAGTCAGCAGCATTTGGTTCATCTTGCTCATTTTATGACTCAGAATTTTTTCATTCTTAATCGTCCATATGACAGTGTAGAGTCAAGGTCAAAAACATAAAAATCCTACTTAAATAGCATAAAGGAGAAATCCAAATCTGATCTTCTTACTCACTATTTTTTACTGAAGTCTGAAATAATCTGGGGCCAAATAAAGGCATTCATGGAAAAGGAAATGATGTATTGTCAAATTACTACTTACCAGAATCACATCAGAAACAGTGTGTTTTAATTAAGAGATTCAAAAACATAGTGTAGGCTACATTTTATCAGAATCATCAAGAAAAAAGTTGCCTCCTCATTCTTTAGAAATTACAATGAACAACGGTTATCATTATCATGTGTCTGCAGATTTTGTGCAGCATGTAAGAGCCAAGCGATGAGTCTTACAGCATGAGATGTCCACATAAAACACATATGGAAAGCTAATGCTGTTGAAATCTATCATTTTAAGTGGCTTTGAATTACAATACGTGACTGCAAAGGAAATAATTAAATATCCCTGATCTAAGAAGCTTTTGGAGGTTAATACCCTTCACAGAAGGCATTGGCATATGTCCTAATGCTGCTGAAGATCCAAAGCAGTCAGTTCCTGTAAATGGCTCACGTCTTCCTGCCACAGGGTAGATTACTATAACGGACTTCATCATAATCTGAAAAGCTGCTCCTGTCACATCCAGGAATGAGACTTCATGAAGCAGATCTACTCACATAAACGGGTGAAGAAAAAGGTTGCTGCCTGTAGCCTGATATAAGCCATCTTTGCACATTACCTTTAGTCAGTCTGGATGTGTTTTTACAGCAGCATACATACTGTGTGGTATTACTTTCACCTTTATTCCTATTTTGCAGGTTTTTCCTATTCTTTATTTAATGTGCTTCGTGCAATGTAAGAACTAGAGGACTATGTATCTTATAAATATATCTTTGTAATCATAATTACTGTACTGTACCTTTTCATAAAGAAGATTCAACCACACTACATGCATTCTTATGACACCAGTTTTGCTGCTTTGACCCAGCTCTACTGCTGAGTGAATATAGAGGAATGATGTGTCTTTTCTTTCCAGGAGCCGGGTATGATGACTCGACAGTGGGCCAGGAGAAGGATGATGATGCCATCTCCCCTGGAGGATACTATGACTATGTTTGGGAAATCAGCGCTAAAGATGGTCCCACCACCAGTGACCCCGAGTGCCTGACCTACTCCTACTCATCCCAGGTGGACACAGTGCGAGATGTAAACTCAGGACTCATCGGGGCCCTGCTCATCTGCAAATCAAGTAAGTATGTGGTAAGGCAAAGGGCAGCTTTGACTTTTGTCTTTCTATAATTTATTGTTATTCTCTCACCATTTCACTACCTATAAACACATACAGGTATAAAGAAACACAAAATAGAGTTGAAGTTATGCAAACCTTAACAGATGGCTAGAAGCTGAAATGATCCCAGTGGTTAAATTAAACATTCATTAAACCAGTGTTTTTAAAGCTAAGTGACGTTATAACTGATTACAATGCAAACATTTAGAAACAAGTGTTACAGCCATGCTAACAGCTATTTGAGGCTGTAGTCTTCTGTACTAAGGCTATGGTACAAGATTAAATGTCAGGGAATCACCAAGGTGATTACAGATCTTCCGGAGGGAATCATGAATGTCTGTACAAAATGTCATAGGTAGGCCTACTGAGCAAGGGTTTATCTGACTTTGTAGATACGGGAAATTAATAGGAAATAGAATATATGCTCCTGTAATATTAGACTGCACAATAACATTGCAAGCATATTATCACATCTTGCATCACATTTGTGTGTGTGTGTGTGTGTGTGTGTGTGTGTGTGTGTGTGTGTGTGTGTGTGTGTGTGTGTGTGTTTCCACAGGTGCCTTCACAGATGATGGCCAGAGGAGAAATCCAGCGTTTGTCCTACTGTTTGCAGTGTTTGATGAGACCAAGAGCTGGTATGGAGAGGTTGGAGAGAGGAAGAGCAGAGAGAAGTTCAAGAGGGGCAACGACAGGAAGGAATACCACACCATCAATGGATATGTCAATGCTACGTTACCCGGTAATGAACCAGAGTTTGTTCCATGAAGTTGTGTTGTAATGTTAAGTGTTGTCAACACTGTATTCATGCTGCGCTGTATGTGGTCCACACAGGAATTTGGCCTAATTTTCTCTCTCTCTCCGTTTGTGTGTGTGTAGGTTTGACAATGTGTCAGGGTCCTAATTACATGTTCTGGCATTTGATTGGGGTGGGCACAGCTCCAGAAATCCACTCCATTCAGTTTCAGGGTCACACTCTGCAGGTAATTCAATTTGTCACATAAATAGCAAACAGATTTAAATGAAATATTTTTTAATTATTTTACTGGCCAATTAATACAAATATTAAAATATACATATATATATATATATATATATATATAGATAGATAGATAGATAGATAGATAGATATAATATATAAATGGACTCACTTGTTTGTTATTTTACTTTTACATTTTCTTTCAAATATAAAATGAACAAATGCTACTCCAAGATTATTTTTATTCGCTGGAAGTACTGTGCTAAGACTGACTTTGAATTAAATTGCAGAATCACTGCAGTGCAGTAGAAGAAAGTGGTATATGTGTAGTTTAACAGCATTAAACTGTGTCTGTTATCTACTGTACTTGTACTTTGCTTTGGATATCTTTTAAAAGCAATAGCTTAACATTTTTTGAAATATGCTGTCTTTCTGAGAGATAGATAAGATTGACACCAGTCTCATGTCTGTACATGAAGACAGGAGCTGGAGCCAGGAGGTGATTAGCCTAGCTTAGCATAAGGACTGGAAACATGAGGAAACAGCTAGCCTTACTCTGTCCAAAGTTCCAAAATACACTTTCTAGCGCG